GAGGGAAACTCCGAGTCCTCACCTGCACATTTATTTGGCCATTTATTTTTTTACACTCAAAAGTATTTTCCTCCAAATTAAAAGAACGGATGTGTTCAGGTTTCTTTTCCCGCGTTGCTGTGAATGTTTCGACAATCTTGGGTTTTACCTGCAATCCCAGAAGCAGATTTTCTTTGTAAGGTGGAACCAGAAGTTCCAGGTTGACATTGTTGTGCCTTAAACTGTCGTCTCTCCTTGTGGTCTGAAATCAGAAACCTAAACGTGTAAGAATTGTTTTTCTCTTTATTTAGCTTTATTTCTCTCAAAGGTCTGTTAACATTCCTGATGTTAATGAGTACACTTCCACACACTCCTTTTTCTATGAAGGCTTTATTCTCCACTTCCCTTACTAACACAAAGTGTAATTTATAATCAAGCTGTAAAGGGAATCTACTATTTAAATCACTTGGATTATTAACTGTGTATTTATGACATCTTTTAAAGCTAAAGTGTATTTGTGTTGTTGCCCTGCAGACAATCTCATATCCATTTCATAATAAAAGACACACTGAGTCTCCTGGGTGAGTCTCCTGTGCTTTTAGAAATATTAAAGTGGCTTTGAAGGTTATATTGAAAATAAAAAGTTATTATTCTCACTATTGTATCTCATAATCATTAATTTTTTTTAATTATCTTATATGTAGATAGTGTGTGTATATATAATTATAACTTGTCTCAATTAAGAATTTAATAATAATTTTTTAAAATCATAATTATGATTTTTTTTAACCTCCTTGGTTTGTGTATACCATAATACTTATTTCTTCTTCACGGAGGTGCAGTGTCCACATACGTTAACACTTACACTGCCATCTAGTGGTGTCAGAAGAGTATAACACTACAGGTTAAATTCAAGATGGCAGAAAACATGTGCTGACCAGGTAAAAAAATCAATCAAATTTCATGGCTGATTGTTGTTCAGATATGTATAACAGTGTTATATGTTTGCCATGGCATGCAAAGTTAGTAACAGTAACGATGTACCGATGTGGACAGGCGGACTTAGTTTTGTTGAAAATGTTAATATGTGAGTATGAAAATGTAGTTTGGGTAGATTTTGGTAGAAAACTATAGTTTACAACAGTACAAACAGATATAGCATGTTTTATAAGTATTAGAATATTAATACCGTAAAACTTCCAATAAAAGCTAAAAGGTCCCTAACAGACGCAGGTCTCTTTTAAAAGCCTGCTGTGGCTACACGTTCTGACAAATAAACGCAGGTCTCCAATAGAGGCCTGGTCTGGATTTTATAGAAATGATCTCGATGTATAAAACCTCTTAAAACCCACGGGTCGCCTGCTTGAGCGAGTTTTAAGTCGTTTTGATCTCCTACACAAATATAAATGTTCAAACTTCTGTCACATCCTTAATCAGTTATAGGTAAGTTTTATTTTTTCCGATCATTTAAAAAATGATTTCACAATAATTCCCATGAATAATTTCTTGAACAGATGCAAACAAAACAAAACAAAGAAAACAAAGATGAGAGAAAAAAGTGATAAGATATATAAATAAAACAATTAATATATCATCATTCTCTCCTCATCCCTATATGTTTCTCTTACAAATTATTTATTCTCTCTTTTATTCTCTTTTGTTTTCTTTGACCGAAAAAAAAAGGTGTAGACTGAAGCCCAAGCTTGTTAGATTCAATCGTTCGCTATATTTTACGAAAACTATCAACAACAAAGTATAACGTTAATTCGGGGGAATTCAGTTAATGTCCCCTTATGTGGACATCATGTCAAAAGATGATGCTTTGTTTTTATACTTATCAGGTCCCAATAAACCGAAATAGCAAAGAGAAATTAAAAATGCATACCAAAAAATAGCTGGGGTCTTAGGAGGCATAATAAAAACATTTTAATTAAGGTCAAGTTAATCTTATTTCCTTTGTTTTAATAGCTAGTTAGCTGGATTGTGTGTTTGCTAAAATTGGGCGTAAAGTACAAGTCCGGAGCACTGAGGAGAAAAAGAAGAGGACGAATCTTCAGTTGTTCCCTCTGAAACGTCTTCTCGCTGTCAACAACTCAACCGTCCACGTCCGGATACTGTCCTGCTAATGTTAGCTCCTCTGGTAGTCGAGCGAAAGAAAACGTTTGTAGACATTTCATTTATTTAAACATTTAAAATGGATCTCTAATTTTTTCTGGATTCAAACTGACAGCTGCTGGATGAAAACATCAGTGGTAAGTTGATTCATAGATGCCGTTCTTATTCATAACGCTGTGTTTTATGTGGTAGACCACCACGTGTGCTGGGTATTGTATTATTGTAGTCGCTTTTTGTATTTTATTTACACGTTTCTACAGACAAATATTGATTTTTATTTTTCAATACCTTCCATGTCATGTGACCAAGAAGCTCAAAATCAGTGCAGAATTATATAACTGCACTCCACAACTGCGATACACCTCTTTTAATACGTGTTCAGCGCTTTTTGTATTTTATATTATTTATATGGGAAAATCTTTTCCTTTTAATACCATTTTGTTCATTTTTGTGAAAGCAACTAAATGAAATTGTTGTTTTTTTTAAATTTTAGATTTAAGATCTAAAGCTTCAAAGACCTGAACACAGCCTTTATTGACAGAGCCTTCACTCTCCGATAAACAGCCCTGTCCTGCATTAGAAAAGTTCAAACAACCAAAGAGCTCATTGAACAAGGAGAGGAAACTGATTCTGTCCAAAAAGAAGCTGATTAATTATTGTTGAAATTATTACTGAAAAAAACACACTTCATTATTCATTAATTCACTGTTTGGACTCATTGGACAGTTTATCAGTTGTTCTCCACTGTTATTGATTTGCACTGAATATAATATGACAACAATATGTCACTCAATGATAGAAAAGGGCTCCCTAAAAGAAAAGGTTGGGAACCAGTGACATGGACAGTCTCAAGGATGTAAATAAAAAAGTGAAGAACATTTCTTTAATGATTTGATGTTCTGAAGATCAATATCTAACTGTGGACTTACTCACACACACTCACACACCAATCTAAAGCAAACAGGTTTTGATGAATGAATTAATAAATGACTCAGAATCATGTTTGTATTCTCCCACTTCCTTTATTAAATTTTTTTGGTTTTTAATATGCTAATAGTAATAGTACAACAGCACGTCTCAGTGTAATCAATCTTCATTCACAGTAACTTCAATCTACTAATAAACACCATTTTAATGTGGCGTATTTTCCTTCCACTGGATCTCTAAACCTTCTTGCTGCAAAGCTTCTTTCAGCTGAGCCTGACAGACTTCTTTTAACTTCATGTCACCAAAACACAGAACTTTCTGCATTCACGAGGTAGCATTTAGGCTGTGTACAGTTAAAGTAGGCGGTTAACATCATAGTGAAGAAGAAATTATATATGTTTTATAAAAGAGCCCACAGTACCAGGAAGTAGTGCATGTAGTAAATAAAACCCTGTAAACCTCCATTACCATAAAACTTCAATTAATAGCCGGCCTTTATTTGGGACAGGCTTCTATATGGGACAGGCCTTTAAACGAGACAGGCCTTTAAACGGGACAGGCCTTTAAACGGGACAGGCCTTTATTTGGGACAGGCTTCTATATGGGACATACCTGCTCTTCTGTTTTCTGTCATTGGCTTTGTTTGCCTTCCTCTGGAGAACACTTTGTACAATTAAAATGAACTCTATAAATATAATGAAAAACATCCAATTCAGCTCCCGAGCTAACTGATATAAAATTCCCTGCTAGCTGTAGTCTGTAAAACAGTTCAAACTTTACAGGTTATAGCTCCAAAAACTTGTAGAGAATTTATTTCAAAACAACAAACATTAAAAAGTGTCTCATAAGAGGATAAAATCTAGAAAATGTTTTTTCATGTGACGGTTGTGGCACAGTACCTAAAGAGTTTGTTGAGTTGTACTTGGCAGCGAAAATGGCCCGACAGAGGCAGCTGGTTGAACCGAGCTTCTCACCGCAGAACTCATGAGCACTGCAGTCCTGATCCTGACAGGAGGCCTGAGGGACAGCAGCTACAGACAGACAGACAGACAGACAGACACATGAGGCTCACTATCAAATAAAGGACGAATGACTGTTCATGTAAACAAGTTTGCACTTTTTACTGGACGACGAAAATCCAAAATACTCCACTGGTCCAGGAACAGTGAAACATTTTTAATGAACTAACTGATTTTTTTATACTCGACTTCCTTCTGCTTTTATTCCACTGAATTTATTTGATGGTGATGGTCACTTTCAGGCGGCAGGACTCGGCATAAGCCTCCAAAAACTGGCACTTGTTGAGGCCGTCCACCGCTGGATATTTGCACAGAGTGTTTGTGCAGGCGCTTACGAAGGGCTCGGGGTCAGAGTGGTTGTGGCAAACAGTGAAGGGGGCCTGCTTTATGAGATTGCAGCTGGGAGGAAGAATGACAGTCAATTAGCAGGTTTCTGAACAGTATCGTGTAGGAACGTATGATAAAGATGACTCGTTCCTGTTCTGAAGATGATAGGAAGGTTCTGATTGGTCAGTTCTTACTATTCAGTTGTGCGGGTGCAGTTGATCGAGCTGTCAGCGGTTTGGTTGTGCAGAGTCTCGCAGCTAGGAGGCGACAAACAGCACGGGACATTCAATTAGAAACCAATGCTGCATTAATAAACAGATTATATCAGTTTGGTTGGACTGAGTTTTACCTGGCTGCACTGTCATCAGAGGACTTGGCTGCACTCAGGGTGAAGTTCTGACTGGAATTAGCGGGGTTGCCACACAAGCCCTCCATAGCTCCAAAATGTCCTGGTCGATGTCAGGAGGCAATTAAAGACAAATAAAAGAACTTCCATCAGTAAGCTCAGCTGTCACTCTTCAACATGAACAACTTTGAAATGACACAGATATTTTGTCCAGATAGGATTTCTGTACCTGTCACATGTGCAGTGTTGCCATCAAAAAGACTGTGGCGTTGATGGAAGGAATCTTGGCAGTAACTCCAGTCTGGTTCTTCGAGAGCTCCACCCCGTGAACCACCTGACCCGTGGCGTTGAGCGTTAGCGTTTGTTGACCATCCTACATCACAGCAGATAGGCAACATGAGGGAAACACTGGCTGAAATAACACAAACACACACCAACATGTGCTTTGCATGGGTGCTTGTTCCAACTTAAAGAAGGATTTTTCAATCTTTAGTTTAGGTAACACCAGCACATTTGAACTCCGATTGTCTCCTCTTATCACTCACAGCGAGAACAACACTTTCAATAGTGTTTACTGGCAGAACAACAAAACAAAGAACATGCTGAAAAAGTAACGTATGACAGAAGTGACGAATGAGAACATTAGTAAAAATAATCTGAATGTTCCTGTTGCACCAATGTTCATTAGACGCAGCTATCCATCCATCCCGGGTTAAAACCTCAAATAGCACCGCATCGTAATTCTGTGCAACTATTTTATTACACTTGAGTAAATAGGATCACATTATATTGTGATATGGAGAATTTTCCACCACCACACCTGTCTTGAACTACATCAACACAAGTAACTCCTGGCCTGTAATGATCATCAGTGATTGATCAAACAAAGAGGATGGAAGGAGGATTTATGAGTCCATAAATAGGCTGTTAGTCTTTGGATGGATTGTGGCAGCTTACCCGGACTCTTCCACCTTGCTCCAGATAGATTTTGACACTTGACCCATTCAGGGACAGTATCAAGTGGTCCAAAAACGCCACATCTTGGCGGCGTCGCTCAAGGAAACCCGCTAGTAGGTTGAAGTCTGAGCCTCCTTGAGGCTTCATCAGACTGTATACGCAGCGATCAGGGACAGAGTGGACTCTGCTGGAGAAATCGATGATGCTGGAGGCAGTCACAGTGCACACGTCAGCGGGTTTTACGCACCTGATGGAGAAGGAAAGGGATAGATATTCTGTCTTTTTATTTCTGAGAGAAAACAACCTCTAAGAAAGAAAGGTGTTTTATTCTATGAAGATGACATTTCCAGTTAATATAACTTTGAGGAAAATGAATCCTCACTAGAGTGACAGGACGATGTGTATTAACTTAACTAAAAGCAGTGGGCAGTGCTATTGTGACAAAGACAAATACAAACCTAACCACAGATACCATACAAAGGATCTGAAAAATCCCTCAGTGACCTTAGATTAAAGGTCTCAGCTTACATGTTGTTGCCGATGCAAGACTCCTCTGATCCACATGTACTGACACTGACTCCAGATGATTCAACTGAACAGACCAATTGGGAGCAGGTTTCTGAGCTGTTGAACATTATTTCTCCAGTCTTAAAACTGGCGTCTGGGAGGTGATAGGAGGTTTATGAAATTAATTTAACATTAAACTGGTGTACAAAACGTAAAGGAGAGGAAATAACAATAGATCAGATGGAAATATTTGCCTACTTTGGTTTCTGCAGCCGCTTATGTCCCAATAAAAAGACATTTTATTCTTCAGCACTGAGTCCACAGTGGAGTTATCGACCGTCATATTCACAGACTAGAGAAGGAATAGACAAAATTCAAGGTTAATAATGTAATACTGTACTAACTCTGAGTGACTTCAGTTCCCCTTTTTATACATGTATAAATATTTGTCTCCAGTTTCAGGCCCGAGCATGAATCAGAATCAGATTTGTGCTGTTCATCTTATGTGGACATAAATACCCTAAAAATAGAAGCTGAGTGTCATTGTCACTGTTCATTTAAAATACTACAGAGCCAATACGACATAAATGTGTCACTGCATTACTGTTACTTCACTGCAGTGTTTATGAGCAATGAGGAACTGTTTCAAACTAAAGTTCTATGTTGTTAATGGTCTGTCAGGATGCCCCAGTTTGTACCTGTCATACATTACCATTACATGGGATAATTACCCAGCAACCATTGTAAACCCAGAAGGTCCAGAACCCACTGCACAACAAAATAACATTGGATGCTTGTGTCACACAGTGAGTCACACTGTGTTGGTAATACATGAGAGGAACCAACTGGGTCTACTCTCAGGGACCAGATTCTATAAAATCCAGTGGTGAACTTCAGGCTGAAAGTCTGAAATCACATCCTTCATTTGGTTTAAGGACAAAAGTTGCCACAGTAACAGACTCGGGCTAATCTCTGAGACCAAACGTCCATATGCCTTACATATACTTACAATAGTAGGGAGGCTAAACTTTGGACTGCAAAGCACAGCCGCTTGTTGTCCAGCTTGGTAAAACAATATTAACTGAAAATATAAACAGAAAAGATACAAAACATATTAGGAAATATTTTATGTATATTTAATATTTCACAAATAAACTTTGATTTGAATTTCCCTTTGCCAATCAATGTCTTTGAAATTTGCACAAAAGGCTGAACAGTAAATCAATTAATCATTAACAATGATGCTAACTTACCATCTTTTTTGTGCCAGTTTTATTTTCTTTGAGGGTCAACGGTACATTGCACTGTGACATGCTCTTTATGCTCGGCAGGCGGGTTGTAATGTTTATGTACTAACAGAAACCTCTATGGGTGCTGTGTCAGAACCACCATTTGTTATGTGAATACAGTCGCTTCCATTTGAGCCTTTGAAACAAACTGCAGTAGCAACGTTGGGTGTCTGCTCCACCTGCAGAGAAAAAAACATACATGAATGACTCTGAAGTGAATTCAGGTCAGTGGGGACATCTTTTCTCAAACATGGTTTAATTTGACTCACAGTCAGCGCTGTGTAATTGCGTCCATAATAGTTGATCGGACAGTTGGGGAAGTTCAGTTCTGTCACAGCAGACAGAGAGAAGTCGACCTGGCTGGCAGCAACTACAGTGTGAATTTAAAAGGAAAAGAAATGAGAGACATCATACATCAATCTATCAAGACCAACTTTCTTTCTTTCCAATTCACACCTCCAACTTAAAATGACATTTATCAGTGCAATGAATTCTGGGAGTAAAAGTCTGAATGAATGAAATCAATATTTAGAAAATATTTTCCTTCAGTGTGAATGACAACATGAGGGGATTTATTTTATTCATAAATCTCTTCAGTGTATGAAACTAAATGGTCCCGACTTGATTCCTTGTGTTGATTAAAAGGAGTCCCAACCCTTATTGATTTGGACTGATTTCATGGATGAGCATATGTTATTAAAGATTTATCATTCAGGTACATTTTGTATTTGAAACAGAGAAATCTGCCATTAAACCCCACAGTCACACTGTAATGTCGGTATATAATGTGTAAAATAAAACCTCCCGTAGAGCCTGCAGCATGTTGGCTCATCAGCTAACGCCTTTAAAATAAAGGTTAGATAGTAAAGCACTTTAAACTTTCCAATGGCTCTCTTACCTGCCAGCAGGAGGAGCAGCGCACTCGGCTTCCCCATGATGGATCCCCGGCAGGAAAGTGTCTGAGCTGGGAGAGATACAGTTCACACAGTGCAGTGTAAGGGATGGTGCTCAGGGTTCGCTTCATAAAGCATTTAATGCCTTTCCTGCTGCACAGGGTTATTAAAAACACAGTCTACCCATTAAATCCATCAAATCAACTGTGCTGTTACGTGTGATGTGTGTTTTCACCAAGTGTGTGTGTGTGTGTGTGTGTGTGTGTGTGTGGACATTCATGGGTATAGATCCAACAGTCACTATAGATGCATTTTGCATTTGTTTCCCCTAATGTTTCCATCCGTTCCAGTGAAATGTCTATAAAGAGGTACAATAGAACACTGTGGCATCAGAGTCTCAGTTATTAAATAAAAACTGGAATTGAAACACTTAAATGCTACATTTCATCAAATTCACAGCCAGTTTCTTGTCATCGTCCAGTAACACTAAGACGGCATTGAATTTGCATTGAACTGCAGATTTTTGAAAGGTTGCACATTTTACTGAGAAACTGAGGTTGAGCTTCACTGAGGATCTTTGTCATCCTCGGTGGCAGGAGGCAACTCTTTTCCACAGGTTTTACTGCAGTTAACAATTGCATTGAAAGGATTGCATTTACAGTTTTAATTGAACTCATTATAGTATAATTATTTAATGAATTTATGTACTATTTTATGAATGATTGTACTGATATTCTTTAAATGAACATTTAAAAACCAATGTCCTGCAGTACTCCAAAGTGCCCCTAGGGGAGAAACACTGCTATAGATTGTGAATGCAGTCGCATTAGAGGCCATAACTCCCACTGAGTACGTTATTATGAGCGGCAGCAGCACGAGTAGTATTTCATTTGACATATTGGGAAGTTGTGTCTGATTTTTACTTTTATCCTCCAGTGAACACATTTTACATTCTGTTTGTTTTACACTCCTTTCCTGTATCAGTAGTTGACAGTTTCACCACAAATATAACAAGATTAAATTATCAACATGAAACCAAATAAATGTGAATGTGAATGATAAAAATGTCTGCCATACACGTAGCTTTACCACAGCTTTGTAAAATGTGTCACGAAGTGATCTGACACTGAAGGTGAGTTTATTCACCGTGTTGGAGCTCACAGACTAAAAGCTTTGTCTTCTTAATAAGGAGCTAACAGATCAGACATAAACTGTGGACAAGTGATCGTTCTCAACTGAATATTCTTTTCCAAATCATTTCAACAGGTTGTGCAGTTTTTTCCTTAAAAAGTCACTGCTGAAGTCCCCATGAGAGAGGAGAGGAGCTTGTCTTACCGTCTGGAGGTTGGCTGGAGCAGCAGGAGATGAAGCTTTGCAGATGGAGGTCGGTGTTGAACCCTTCTGGATGTTGCAGCTCTTGGGCTGATGTTGCTGCTGTCTGTCTCCATCTGCCTCTTTTTATACTCAGGTGTTTGTGCGTCACGCCCCTGAAGATGGAAACATTGACGTGCCATGCAATAAGTGATGGTTGTTAACCTATGAAGAATGTCCACACACACACACACACACACACACACACACACACACACACACACACACACACACACACACACACACACACACACACACACACACACACACACACACAATGATCTATTATTATACCTTAACTAACATTTAACCAACAGACAAAACAACAAAATAATTCATTTTTGATATATTTTGGGGGTTTTATAGTCCCTGTAATCGATAGAGAGAGCTGTAGAGTGACAGGGAGGTGACACGCAGCAAAGGGCCTCAGGTCGGAGTCCGACCCCTGACCGCTGCAACAAGAGCTCAGTTCTGGCACATGGGTACAGGTCCCTAAAAGCACCTTGATTTGATCAGCTCTGATGGATCTACACTGTGTTCAATAGATAGGGGTCCAATCTGACCCACAACAGCATCAATCTACAAAATATATCACACCTGTACAAAAGAACGTCATTTATAGTGTTTTTATTGATGTCAAATATCAAGACAGATCAAATTTGACCCAAACTGTAACTGTAAGAGTTAGAATATGAATCAAACTTGTGAAGTTCTATAAAGGAAATAAGAAACTCCACAGTGGATATTAGGATTTTATATATTATATATTATTATTATATAAAGGAGGGAGGATTGTAGTGGGAGCACGGGGGTGTCAGGTGTGAGTGTAGGGTGGCCATTTCCTTCACATCAAACAGGAGGACACTTTGCATACACGAGGAGACGCAAGCAGATATTTGTTTGGTATGATCCGGTTTTAAATGTTAATGTTTTTCCAGATTACATAAAGGTGCATACACATACCACATAGCTAATAATAAATATACAAGATACAGCTCATGACAACGTGCCCTTCCAATTCAGATTACATAGGTCTAATAACCATCATACAGAAACTGTTCTTAATGTTTTTATCTGGATAGATAAGTAAGGGTAAAACAAATGCAGCACCTTCTGTTTCAGATGTATAGACTTTGCCTATCTACATATGAGTATGAGCATTTTCAGAATTTCAGTCCAACAACCGACGTTAGCTCACATTATGTTCTCTGTCCCTGGGAGCTTGATTGACAGCCTGGTGGTAGGTGATCACCTGGCTCATTTGAATATTAAAATGAGCCATGTGTTGATAGGTCAGGACACGAAAATGTAACCAATGAAATTACTTATTTTGACACACATTTTTAGCCAATAAGTATTAAACTAACGAGGTAATGTGTCAAAAGGTGGACCTTTTTAGTTATTTTCTCAAAAGGAGGACAAATGAGTGTCCCGCTTAAGGCTGCAGCCGGACAGGGCACTTAAAAGCCGGACTGTCCGGCCTAAAGCCGGACGAATGGCCACCCTATGTGACTGTGTGAAGGTAGGAGGAGGTAGGACAGCCTCTGGGCAGGAATTCAGCTTAAGGCGCCATAACTGGTCTTAAAATGCACCAGGACCACATTCTGTCACTGTGAGCCGCCTTTCTACCCTGAGGGGGGGTCAGGGACACTTAATAACCTTTTAAATTTCAGATAGGATTTTATTTGTGATCATTTTTCATGACTTTTTAAACCTTTTTGAAACTTCCTGTAAATGCATTATAACCCATTGAAACCAATGAGGAATGGCTCCTCAACAAAATGCTTTCACCTGCTGTGTGACTGATAATAACTCAACTTTCATGTATATGGAACACATAGATAGGAGCCCCTCACATGTGTGACCATTGATAAACATGTGATTCTTCATGTGATCTAAAAATGTCACAGTTGGACTGATACTTGCCCAAAGTATGTCTGTACCAGATTACAGCCTTTAGACCAATCACAACAAGTGTGATGGCGTTTGTCCTTACCACACTAAATATAGTCTTTGGGCACTAACGGGTTAACCCATTAATGACTAATGGCTGTATTTAGTATGTTCAGGAACATCTCCACACAGTATTTTCTGTTAGAGGTGGAAACTATAAAGACATGTAGCAACACACGACACAATCAAAGTGTACAACTGAACGTATTTATCACGCCTTAACTGGGACACAAAGTTTATTCAGAAATAAGTTTAAGGTTTGTTTGACGTGTTAAATATCATATTAAATGATACTTACACTGGATCAGAGCACATCTTATTGACAGTGGAGCTGTTTGAATTTGTTGCTTTCAGTCATTTCACAGAACTACTTGTAGTTTTTGACATTGAGCTATTTCTGTATCACACTATATTTAATGACTCACTCATTTTATCCCACAGGAATACATTATAAAATCTCTCTCAGGTCTGCACAGAACCCAACAACACATTATCATTTCACTTTATGAATGGATATTGTAACAATCCAGAATATGAATCAAACTTGTGAAGATGTGAAACTCCTAACCTGTTGATCTAGAGGAGCAACCCCTAGTGACTAACCACTAAACAAAGCACATTAAGGAAACTTAAACTTTGACCCATCTGAAAGAAATCAACAGATTTGTGCTTTAAGTTCTATAAAGGAAATAAGAAACTCCACAGTGGATATTCAGATTTTATATATTATATATTATTATTATATAAAGGAGGGAGGATTGTAGTGGGAGCACGGGGGTGTCAGCTTAAGGCGCCATAACTGCTCTTAAAATGCACCAGGACCACATTCTGTCACTGTGAGCCGCCTTTCTACCCTGAGGGGGGGTCAGGGACACATGATAACCAGTTTGTTCACACGTGGTGCCTCAGGTACATTTAGGACAGGATTTTATTTGTGATCATTTGTGATGACTTTTTACATTTTCTCTACATCTAAGGAGTCGAGAAAGGGGTCAATCACAATACTCATAAAAATAATATTTACTGTGCTTTAAATCTGTGTGTGTGTGAGTGTGTGTGTGTGTGTGTGTGTGTGTGTGTGAGAGAGAGAGAGAGAGAGAGAGAGAGGTCCTATATGTATTTTAGAGTCAGTAATTATTTAAACGTTATTTAACGGTCACAGCAACGTAAGTTTGTCTGTTGTTCCGGACAGTTTCCTGTTATTTCTGATTTTTAATAGTTTTGATTGTGTAAGTTGTTTTTTTTATGTTTATTACAAACATGTATTGATTTATGTGCTGTCTATAAGTATGGTTATATGTAAAATATAAATGCTATGTGGTATTAACCTAAAATTAGTCACATTGACAGAGACCTATGTAATGAATAACTTTATATATTTTAGAAGAATTTGTGTGTCTGAACATATAAACATATAATATATATAACACACACACATATTAATAACAAAAATAACAACAACAACAATGATAATGTCCCTGAGTAGAATAAAGAAATCCAGGATAATTGAGCAAGCGCGGCTTGACTTAGCCTGCTCGGTGCATCCTGGCTTAATCGGTTGCACGTTTGCCGAGCCAGGATGAAAAGGTGCGGCTATGTTAAGCCAGGTGTAGATAGTCGGGATAAGTGCGTGTTCACAGCATACTGAAATAGACCTCGCGATCGCTCACAGAATCACCGATGGGAACATGGATAAGAGTCAGTTTAATTAATGTATACTGTCCCTGTTAAAATAAACCAATAAATAAAAATAAAATTGTAGAAGTAAAAAAAAAAGCCCATAGAACTGGCACAGGGGGCCCACCAAGCCAGGATATGTGCTGCAAATGGTTCCTTTATTGAGGTTCTCTGCATCCCCAACAGAATAAAGGAAGCTCCCACTTGCAAAACATTCCTGCCGTCTGGTGCTGTATTTTTGGACCCAGCAGCCTACATAAATATCTTAGTCCATCACCTGAGAATCTGTATCTCTCAATGAGATAGTCCTCTCCAACGGCCAATGGGTCTGACCTGTCCCAGAAGACTCTTTCATGACTAAATGCTCGTCTGAGGATTAGGGCTTCCTCATCCAGTACATCCTCCAAGAAAGGGCAAGCCATTATGAAGAGGGAGCAGTCTTCATTAGCATAGCAATATAACACTTGTCCTGAGTAATAAAACTTCCACTTGAATCAATATAAAAAGACTGTTGCAATTACAAACAGCCAACAGATTTAAATGAAATAAGAAATGACAATATATATGTAATATTTTAATGCAGGATAATTAAAATGATGCAACATACTTAGAAAGACCATGGACATGCTGTAAAACACATTAATTCCTCACAGGACTGACGGTGGAAATACAGGTGAATCACTAGGATTAATCTTAGCCTGGCTGTTAGCCTGGTCTGGAGCAGGCTAACTGCAGAGAATAAATCACCATAGTAACTTGGCCGGGATAAGTTTAACCTGCTTTCATGCAACCGACTTGAGGCTTAATTCAGCCAGGATAACCAACATATCCCGGGTTAATCCCTTATCCTGGTTTTGTGCAATACCCCTCAGGTGGTTTTAATGTCAGACAACAAAGTGAGGAGGTGTAGTGTGTCTGAGGGTCCAGCAGGGGGCAGCACAGACCTGCTGGTACTGAATACAGTGGAGCTTCATGCTGACACTACTGCTGACTATCTGCACCATTATTGATTGATCATTTCTGATCACACCCTGACCTCTGACCCCTCTACTTTTAAACCAGAGTCCAGGAAATAGAAATAAGAGTTGTTGTTTCTTATATATATATATATATATAGTGTGTGTGTGTGTGTGTGTGTGTGTGTGTGTGTGTGCGTGCGTGCGTGTGTGTGTGTGAGGCCTCCTCATCTGTTATCATCACTCAGAGGCTTCTTCTTCTCCCTCTCTCTTTCCTCCCTCCCTCCTCCTTCCTCCCTCCTTCTCTTCTTCCCCTTTCCCTCCCTCCTTCCCTCCCTCCCTCCTTCCCTCCATCTTTTCGCTCTTCCTCCCTTCCTCTCTCCCTCCTTCTCTCCTTCTTTTCTCTCTTCTTCCTCCCTCCTTCCTCCCTACTTTTCTCTCTTCTTCCTCCCTCCTTTTCTCCTTCTTTTCCCTCGTCTTCCTCCCTCCTTCTCTCCTTCTTTCCTCTCTTCTTCCTCCCTCCCTCTCTCCTTCCCTTTTCCTCCTTCCTCACTCTCTCCTTCTTTCTCCCTCCCTCCCTCCCTCCTCTCTCCTTCCTCCCTCCTTAATCAGTAAGATCTTTATGTATGAACCATGTTGGGAACCAGTGTAGGAACCTCCTCCTCCTCCTCAACCTCTTCCTCCTTTCTGTCTGCCTTTTATCCAGGTAAAGGTCAGAGGTCAGCCCCAGGACGTCAGCCACAAACAGGCTTCCTGTCTGTGCTCCAGCGGAGGTTTTCTGCTGCCTCAGACGAACCCCAGATAACGAACCCAGAGCTCGTCCTGAGTGTCGGCGGCAGCGTACAGTGAGCTCACGCCTGTAAGCCTCTTACAGTAATGCACCTGCTGCTGAGCCAACACTGCGGCACAGCCGAGCAGAGTGGGGGACGCTGACCGAGCACCTCCTCGGCGTACCGGGTGACGATTCTGTGATTTTTCAGGATCCTAAAGGCGTGTCAGAGATGCTGGGTGGAGATCTGGTGGCGGTGTGGGAGGTGGCGCTGAGCGACGGCGTTTTCAGGATTGAGTTCGCCCATGGTACCACCACCGGGAAACGTGTTGTTTATGTCAACGGACAGGTGAGCGAAGCCGGTGCTTCCCAATTATTTTCAGCATCTGAAATGAAGTCCACTCATCAGGGGCGGAGCCAGACGTTGCTCTTTACAGCACGGTTTTACAAGCCAGTCAACATAAGAGGATACAAATCTGTGGTTCCTGACCTGGGAGTCCACTAGGGGTCGCCAAAGCTTCACAAGAGGTCACGAGTTCTTCTTGATTTTCAGGGATGTAAAAAAATACAGTACATCTCATCATTCTGTCTAATTTTGTGACGAAAACTAAATGAAATCATTATTTTTAAAGAGCAGATTATTATTGAATCTCAACTTTAAAGATCTAAACACAAGTTATATTGACAGAGCCTTCAGTCTGATCAACAGCCTCGTTAATTCAATTCATTCATTATTATTGTTATTATTGTTGGAATATCATTATCATTCATTTCCCAGAGAGAAAAAAAGCCACCTGAATAAAAGTTATATTTTAAAACACAGGTTAGAAATTTGACATTCAACCTTTAATAAAATAACAGATGTTCCAACTGTAAACCAGAGCCATGTGTCAACTGCTGTAGAGATGCATGTATATAATTATTTGGCATTAAATATGTATATAGTTAATTTACTATTACAGACATTAAATGTGGTAAACACCTGTCCTTTGTTTCACCACTTACTTAAACACACGTGACTATCTACCAAATACCAGAAATACCCATCAGGAAAGAGATTATTTATTATAGCAGCGGACAGGAACATGAGACGTGGTTCTCAGTAATACCAGTGATGCTCATGCTTACCAAGTTCTTTACATACACAAAGAAAAAAGTATATTGATCCTGTATCGACAGTCCGACTGTGGACATATGACGGCCTTTAGCTCGTGTTTCTAGAGTTACGTGTCGTTACGAACACGTTAGGAATTGTTAAAATGTGATATTTCTTAAAGGGAGTTTGGTGCAGGGAGCTTTTAGTTGCTCAAATGGATAATTTCTAACATTTTGTCTCCACTACAGAAACACTAAATTATGAAGAGGTTGTCTGACGTTGACTGCTGTTAGTTATTAGTTGAAGTAAAAGATGTCAGTAGAAACTGATGAATGAGTGAACGAATGTACAGTAGCAGCTGTTTATCTGTCTGCCTTTCCTCAACAGGAAGTCATCAGAAAAGACTGGATGTTCAAGCTGGTTGGAAAGGAAACATTCACCGTGGGAAGCACAAACACCAAAGCCACCATAGTCATCGAGGCCATCAGCGGGTTCGCCTACGAGTACACGCTGGAGATGGACGGGAAGAGTCTGCAGAAGTTCATCAACAACAAGGCTCAGACCACCAAAACCTGGCTGCTCAGAGTGGACGGAGCCGACTGCAGGGTGGTTCTTGGTGAGTTTTGGAACCACGGAAAGGCTCCTGCGTCTTCAGGAGGGAGTGTGGGTGAACGCTGAAGCATAATCTGCTCAGGTTGAGCTCAGTGCAGGTATTTTAGGAAACATGACTACAGCATGGATCTGGACTACAGACACTGAACCCCAGTCAGTTCAGAGCAACGTCATTCAGTCGTTCAGGGACCGACGCATCATCTCATCCAATAATCTACACTTTTCCTTTCATTCATGTTGTAAATATGTCCTGTACTTTAGCCGCCACTGGTTGCTAACTGGGCTGATAAAAACAAACAAATATAAACAAATATACAGCCACGTAATCTGACAACACAACACGCACCCTGTGGTTCGGAGGAACGCAGCACAATCAATACGCGGCCCCTACGGTTTACTCATCACATAAATCAGAGATGTTCTAACTGGTTTCCGGGCTTTTTATGCGAGTTTATGGACCCCAGAAATAAACAAATATACAGTGTATTCAAAGAACTGCATGAGATTATCATAAAGTAGGCATGTCAATAATGTTATTACTGTAATATTATTAGTTACTGCCCGACACTGGTACCAATAGATGCAATATAGGTTATTATTTTAGCTTATATTACCTGTAATCGTTTGCTTTAGTGGAAGAAAACTCAAGTTGGGGGAAACATTTGTACAGAGAAGATACATTTAAGGGACTTTATTCAGATTAATTCTGTTCAATTTAACTTAATATCTGTAAAAAAAAAAAAAACAACAACATGTTGATCAATCCTCAATTAATGTTAAACCTATAATGAATAAACACTGTTCTCCTTCTGTCCCACAGAAAAGGACACAATGGATGTTTGGTGCAACGGGCAGAAAATGGACACAACGGTGAGAATCAACAAACTCTATATATAATATATTTAAATATATATAAATAAATCTATATAATAATAATAATAATAATAATAATAATAATAATAATACTTTCAATTGTTTTAAATCTCAATGAGTCCAACAGGTCAGATCACCTGGTCCAATGTGGTCTGAATGTGGAAAAGAATAGTTTAATTGCAGCTTTTTTAAAGGTTTCATAAATCTGAAATGATGTTTTCAGAATCAGAATTGGGATTATTTAATATAATGTGTATATACAGGCTGGGTTTAATTAATGTAATGTATATATACAGCGTTTAATTAATGTAATGTATATATACAGGGTGGGTATAATTAATGTAATGTATACAGGGTTTAATTAATGTAATGTGTATATACAGGGTGGGTATAATTAATGTAATATGTATATATATACAGGGTGGGTATAATTAATGTAATATATATATATATATATATATATATACAGGGTGGATGTTTGTTTTTTGTCCTGCATTAAGACAGGTGTTTCTATCCTTTCAAAATAAGACATTTAAAGGAAACAAGTCTGTATCTGTGGATAAAAATGCCATTCTGAGATACAAAAACATTCATATTTTTCCTCACTAATGACTCGATGGCCTCCTAAAACTCTGACTTTCCACAGGGAGAGTTCGTGGACGACGGTACAGAGACACACTTCATGGTGGGGGAGCACGAGTGCTGCATCAAGGCTACCAGCAGTGGGAAGAAGAAGAGCGGCATTGTGCACTATTTACTGCTGGACGGGGAGAAAATAGCAGCTTCGACACAATAGCTGAGAACTTTCAAAGAGACTGTGTGGATGAGCACGCCATGTAGAAATACCAGGCAGATACAAACAACACTGGCTGCGCTTTATTTTGAAGGATCTGTTTTTCCATTTGGTTTTGATGACACATTTTGAAAATATGTTCATGTAAATAATGCAAATAAACACTGAAAATGTGCAGCATTCACTTTGTTGTATGTTTTTATTTTCTACTGGGTGATTTATTTGACACCTGATCAAACAGCTGATCTTCTGTGTGAATTGAATATGTAACTGTGAATATTTTGGCTGTGTCATGGTTTACGTTGTGCAATAAAGGTTTAATCTGTGAACAATTATATCTTGTGTGGTTGATAATAATGATAAAGTTCATTTATGTGTCAGAACATGGTCTAAAAACTACTTCCTGTATATTCTTTGAAGGCTGCTGGGAAACTGTCCAGCTTTTAGCCACAGGAAGAAGAAGTAGAATAGACTTTAGTGTCAATGTGGCAGCCGTGTGACGGGATCTTCACAACTGATGTATTAATGTAAAGACCAGCACAGTTATTATTTTATTAGTTAATGACATATGATTGAAGTATCATACTTTAGATAACTTCAGTTTCCTGACCTAATATATATATATTTTACCTGTTCACATACTTTCCTTTATTTACTGTATATATTTCCTACGAGAATAAAGTCGTAATATTACGAGAATAAAGTCGTAATATTAGGTCTACGAGAATAAAGTCGTAATATTAGGTCTACTAGAATAAAGTCGTAACATTACGAGAATAAAGTCGTAATATTAGGTCTACGAGAATAAAGTCGTAACATTAGGTCTACGAGAATAAAGTCGTAACATTAGGTCTACGAGAATAAAGTCGTAACATTAGGTCTACGAGAATAAAGTCGTAACATTAGGTCTACGAGAATAAAGTCGTAACATTAGGTCTACGAGAATAAAGTCGTAATATTAGGTCTACTAGAATAAAGTCGTAACATTACGAGAATAAAGTCGTAATATTACAAGAATAAAGTCGTAATATTAGGTCTACGAGAATAAAGTCGTAACATTAGGTCTACGAGAATAAAGTCGTAATATTAGGTCTACTAGAATAAAGTCGTAACATTACGAGAATAAAGTCGTAATATTGGTTACAAGAATAAAGTCGTAACAATATTAGGTCTACATTAGGAGAATATTAGAATAAAGTCGTAACATTAGGTCTACGAGAATAAAGTCGTAATATTAGGTCTACTAGAATAAAGTCGTAACATTACGAGAATAAAGTCGTAACATTACAAGAATAAAGTTGTAATATTAGGTCTACTAGAATAAAGTCGTAACATTACGAGAATAAAGTCGTAATATTAGGTCTACTAGAATAAAGTCGTAACATTACGAGAATAAAGTTGTAATATTAGGTCTACTAGAATAAAGTCGTAACATTACGAGAGATAAAGTCGTAACATTAGGTCTACAAGAATAAAGTCGTAACATTACGAGAATAAAGTCGTAATATTAGGTCTACTAGAATAAAGTCGTAATATTAGGTCTACTAGAATAAAGTCGTAATATTAGGTCTACTAGAATAAAGTCGTAATATTACGTTACGTTACGACTTTTTTCTCGTAATTTTCACAAAAAAACCTCCCAGTGATTGGAGCCTGTGAGGGTTCAACACTTGTTCAAAACTGTACAGTCCAAAAGAAAAACTCTAAAGGTCTGTGGAAGAGTCACTAATTAAATAGTTCAACATGTGAGAAAATTAATGTGAAGTTTTGAGGATGCGGGTTCGATCCCCACTCAAACCTGTGAATATTTAATTTTAATGTCCAAACTTTAAAATCTATAGGTTTGTGAGAAATCCTGTTGTAGTGTCTCAGAGTGAATAATGAAGGTGAGTAAGGAGACTCTGATGTTGTGTGTTTGATTCCCTTCTAGTCCAACAACCAAAGTTACTGAAGGTACTGAAACACTGAACCCAGAGCCCAGGACCGGATATGGACTTCTGGTAATCCAGAACTAATATTTACCATAAAATGTAACTTAACTGAACTAAACAGCGTCAGCCTGAGTTGAGTCGCGTGGTTACTGGGAACAGGAAGTCGAGGAGGCGGATGAATAGCACGCGGTGACGTGGTCCTGGACACAAGGTAGCTCAATACATGGGCGGGGCTCAGAAGGGAATTGGTAGCAACACCAGAGGGGTATTGCACAAAAGTAGAATAAAGAAATCCAGGATAATTGAGCAAGCGCGGCTTGATTTAACCTGCTCGGCGCATCCTGGCTCAATTGGTTGCACGTTTGCCGAGCCAGGATTAAAAGGTGCGGCTATGTTAAGCCAGGTGTAGATAGTCGGGATAAGTGCGTGTTCACAGCATACTGAACTAGACCTCGCGATCGCTCACAGAATCACCGATGGGAACATGGATAAGGCCGCTGAACAACAGCTCCTGATGGAGTTCTATGAAGAGGTGGAAGATAGAAGAAAAAAAGGCAATACCGATGCCATAATGAAAGAAAGAGAGAAAGCCTGGCAGACAATAGCGGACCGGCTTAATGCTTAAGTAGTCCAAAACTGTACAATGAATAAACAGTGCTCCACTGGAACTGTCATCATTAGGCTCCAATTAAAGGACTAAAGGAGTTACTGTAAGTCCACTAATCAACTGTTGTACACTTTGCTTTAAATGTGGCAAGTAGAGGTGCATGTTACTTAAATGTAGAGTATGATTAAGTGCAAACAATTATCCACAATGTGTCATTTAATCTATTTTTATCTATTTTATCTTTCTATCCTTCATAAAGAACAAACTTGTCTGGCCATAAAAGGACCTGGCAGCAAGTTAAAGTTAAATACAAGAACATTTTGCAGGCTGGTCAGTGACTATAAAGTAGATAACAATGAATAAATGAGGTGAATAGATTAGGTATCTGCTGACATGTTGAATGTCTGTATGATTGTAGCAGTTAAAAAAAAGCCCATAGAACTGGCACAGGGGGCGGCCCACCAAGCCAGGATATGTGCTGCTAATGGTTCCTTTATTGAGGTTCTCTGCATCCCCAACAGAATAAAGGAAGCTCCCACTTGCAAACCATCTCAATGTAACACAGACCATCTGTGGTACAGTGAGAGCATGGCTTCCTGCCGTCTGGTGCTGTGTTTTTGGACCCAGCAGCCTACATAAATATCTTAGTCCATCACCTGAGAATCTGTATCTCTCAATGAGATAGTCCTCTCCAACAGCCAATGGGTCTGACCTGTCCCAGAAGACTCTTTCATGACTAAATGCTCGTCTGAGGATTAGGGCTTCCTCATCCAGTACATCCTCCAAGAAAGGGCAAGCTATTATGAAGAGGGAACAGTCTTCATTAGCATAGCAATATAACACTTGTCCTGAGTAATAAAACTTCCACTTGAATCAATATAAAAAGACTGTTGCAATTACAAACAGCCAACAGATTTAAATGAAATGAGAAATGACAATATATATGTAATATTTTAATGCAGGATAATTAAAATGATGCAACATACTTAGAAAGACCATGGACATGCTGTAAAACACATTAATTCCTCACAGGACTGACGGTGGAAATACAGGTGAATCACTAGGATTAATCTTAGCCTGGCTGTTAGCCTTAACTAAAGTAGTTAATATAGTAGTTAATAAAGTAGTTAATAAAGTAGTTAATATAGTAGTTAATAGAGTAGTTAATATAGTAGTTAATAAAGTAATTAATATAGTAGTTAATAAAGTAGTTAATAAAGTAGTTAATATAGTAGTTAATAAAGTAGTTAATAAAGTAGTTAATAAAGTAGTTAATAAAGTAGTTAATATAGTAGTTAATAAAGTAATTAATATAGTAGTTAATAAAATAGTTAATAAAGTAATTAATATAGTCACAAACAACAAAAGGACAAAGTGTATTTACACATGAGGAAGGTTTTACAGAATTAGTGTAAAATAAATAATCCTCTATAATATATATACTATATAAATACTAGTGGGTGTAAATATATATATATATAATCACATAAGAGTTCAGTTTGCTAATGTTAGTTATTGATCAAGTTTCCGATGTACAAACGTTACATTACATTGTAAAAGGTATTTCAATAGGACACATTTACTATTTTAACCCCCCAACATTAAACAACATTAAACAATTTAAAGACATTAAAACTGTTTTAAAATTCTTTGGACACATTAATATTTAATTTTATGACTCATTATTATTTTTTTAAGTATAAAAAGAATCTATATCTGAATTTCATCCTACAGCCTTTGTGTTGTAAATAACAATAAAAGAACCTTGAATACACATTAAACGAGGGGCTCTTATTGTGAAATATGTGTGTTGGACTGATATTAGACTAATCTCTAGATAAACACATTGATTGAAGCAGCTCAGCCTCCAAACACAATTATAACCTGTAAGGTTTTATTGTCCTGTTGTCAGTCTGTTTGTGTTTTATGCTCCAATAGCGCCATCGTGTGGATGTCAGTGGCTCCTGCGACCGCTGAGAGTTCCTCTTCGGTCGGTTGTATTTCTACAATCTTTAACAGACAGAAACCCGCTGAGGGATCAGAAACTCTCTGCGACCTGTGAGGATGCAGTGAACTCTGGTACACAGGTTAGAGTCCGGAGGAACAACAGAACAGGGATTTTAAAAGAAAGGAGGAAGAGATTGAGAGGAGGACAAATATATAGAGGAGGAAGTTTATCCAACACAGACAAAAACATAAACCTCCTGTTTAATATTCTCTTTATTTCTTATAATGCTGATCATATTTAAAACATTAATGATTAATATTCACTGTATTATTATTATTATTATTATTATTATCATTATTATTATCCTCATCATCATCATTATTATTATTATTATTATTGTTATTATTATTATTATTATTATTATTATTATTATTATTATCATTATCTTATTATTATTATTATTATTATTATTATTATTATTATTATCATTATCATTATCTTATTATTATTATTATTATTATTATTATTATCATTATCATTATCATTTATTATTATTATTATTATTATTGTTATTATCATTATTATCTTATTATTATTATTATCATTATTCCATTATATTATCATTATTATTATTATTATTGTTGTTATTATCATTATTATCATTATTATTATTTTTTATTATCATTATTACCATTATTATTATCATTATTATTATTATTATTGTTATCATTATCATTATTATTATTATTATTATTATTATTATCATTATTATCATTATTATTATTGTTATTATTATTATTATTATTATCATTATTATTATTATTATTATTATTATCATTATTATTATTATTATTATTATCATTATCATTATTATAATTATTATTATTACTGTTATTATTATTATTATTATTATCATTATTATTATTATTATTATTATCATCATCATTAATTATTATTATTATTATTATTATTATTATTATTATTATCATTATTATCATTATTATTATTGTTATTATTATTATTATTATTATCATCATTATTATTGTTATTATTATTATTATTATCATAATTATCATTATTATTATTGTTATTATTATTATTATTATTATTATTGTTATTATTATTTTATTATTATCATTATTATCATTATTATCATTATTATTACTGTTATTATTATTATTATTATCAATATTATAATTATTATTATTACTGTTATTATTATTATTATTATCATTCAGCTTTATATAAATAAAATCAGATATAATATATTTCTGGTGCTGTCTGTCTTTATGCTGGTGGAGTTGTTTGCTGCCCTCCAGTGGTCGCAGTGAGGAACTACACCAAGGAGATACTCAAGTTAGACACAATAACATAACGATACCCCTTCCGGTCAGTGCTTTCAAAATAAACCCATGACCCAACTGAAACAATCAGTAACGGATGAATTACCAGTTATTATTGTGTTTATTAATGTCTCTACACAAGCTGTGGACCGAGTGTGCGCAAAAGAGATCACAACAAACTCACATCCTCTCCAATAAGATCTACTGACTGATTATTATTGATTATTGATTGAATGACTCCACCACTATATCTGGCAGGAACATAGTTGGAAAGTGGAGTTTGTCTTTATTCTTGAGGCAGTTCACAGGATACAACTATTGTCAGAATATCTGTTATTGTTGTTAATTATTCATTTAGTGTTTCCTAAAAACAAACAAAGAAATGTCAACAATAATTCTCTATGTCATGAAGACCAGGGTGTCTGCAGGGTTTTAACAACAATACAATCAGAATTTTAGGCCTTAAAATGTCTTAAGTGTGATTGGATGATGAAGTCAATGATATTTGTACAAAGTTGAAATTTCAGTCTCACTTTTAGATGTTTTTGGTGGAAAATGTGTATTGATGATGCTGTAACAATGTCACAATGAACCAATACATATCCATAGTACTTTATTGGCAGTGTGGACAATGAATTAAAATACATATAGGATCTTTCTCTCTCTCTTTCTCTCTCGCTCACACACACACACACACACACACACACACACACACACACACACACACACTCACACACACACAGATTTAAAGCACAGTAAATATCATTTTTATGAGTATTGTGATTGACCCCTTTCTCGACTCCTTAGATGTAGAGAAAATGTAAAAAGTCATCACAAATGATCACAAATAAAATCCTGTCCTAAATGTACCTGAGGCACCACGTGTGAACAAACTGGTTATCAAGTGACCCTGACCCCCCCTCAGGGTAGAAAGGCGGCTCACAGTGACAGAATGTGGTCCTGGTGCATTTTAAGAGCAGTTATGGCGCCTTAAGCTGAATTCCTGCCCAGAGGCTGTCCTACCTCCTCCTACCTTCACACAGTCACACCTGACACCCCCGTGCTCCCACTACAATCCTCCCTCCTTTATATAATAATAATATATAATATATAAAATCCGAATATCCACTGTGGAGTTTCTTATTTCCTTTATAGAACTTAAAGCACAAATCTGTTGATTTCTTTCAGATGGGTCAAAGTTTAAGTTTCCTTAATATGCTTTGTTTAGTGGTTAGTCACTAGGGGTTGCTCCTCTAGATCAACAGGTTAGGAGTTTCACATCTTCACAAGTTTGATTCATATTCTGGATTGTTACAATATCCATTCATAAAGTGAAATGATAATGTGTTGTTGGGTTCTGTGCAGACCTGAGAGAGATTTTATAATGTATTCCTGTGGGATAAAATGAGTGAGTCATTAAATATAGTGTGATACAGAAATAGCTCAATGTCAAAAACTACAAGTAGTTCTGTGAAATGACTGAAAGCAACGTATTCAAACAGCTCCACTGTCAATAAGATGTGCTCTGATCCAGTGTAAGTATCATTTAATATGATATTTAACACGTCAAACAAACCTTAAACTTATTTCTGAATAAACTTTGTGTCCCAGTTAAGGCGTGATAAATACGTTCAGTTGTACACTTTGATTGTGTCGTGTGTTGCTACATGTCTTTATAGTTTCCACCTCTAACGGAAAATACTGTGTGGAGATGTTCCTGAACATACTAAATACAGCCATTAGTCATTAATGGGTTAACCCATTAGTGCCCAAAGACTATATTTAGTGTGGTAAGGACAAACGCCATCACACTTGTTGTGATTGGTCTAAAGGCTGTAATCTGGTACAGACATACTTTGGGCAAGTATCAGTCCAACTGTGACATTTTTAGATCACATGAAGAATCACATGTTTATCAATGGTCACACATGTGAGGGGCTCCTATCTATGTGTTCCATATACATGAAAGTTGAGTTATTATCAGTCACACAGCAGGTGAAAGCATTTTGTTGAGGAGCCATTCCTCATTGGTTTCAATGGGTTATAATGCATTTACAGGAAGTTTCAAAAAGGTTTAAAAAGTCATGAAAAATGATCACAAATAAAATCCTATCTGAAATTTAAAAGGTTATTAAGTGTCCCTGACCCCCCTCAGGGTAGAAAGGCGGCTCACAGTGACAGAATGTGGTCCTGGTGCATTTTAAGACCAGTTGTGGCGCCTTAAGCTGAATTCCTGCCCAGAGGCTGTCCTACCTCCTCCTACCTTCACACAGTCACATAGGGTGGCCATTCGTCCGGCTTTAGGCCGGACAGTCCGGCTTTTAAGTGCCCTGTCCGGCTGCAGCCTTAAGCGGGACACTCATTTGTCCTCCTTTTGAGAAAATAACTAAAAAGGTCCACCTTTTGACACATTACCTCGTTAGTTTAATACTTATTGGCTAAAAATGTGTGTCAAAATAAGTAATTTCATTGGTTACATTTTCGTGTCCTGACCTATCAACACATGGCTCATTTTAATATTCAAATGAGCCAGGTGATCACCTACCACCAGGCTGTCAATCAAGCTCCCAGGGACAGAGAACATAATGTGAGCTAACGTCCGTTGTTGGACTGAAATTCTGAAAATGCTCATACTCATATGTAGATAGGCAAAGTCTATACATCTGAAACAGAAGGTGCTGCATTTGTTTTACCCTTACTTATCTATCCAGATAAAAACATTAAGAACAGTTTCTGTATGATGGTTATTAGACCTATGTAATCTGAATTGGAAGGGCATGTTGTCATGAGCTGTATCTTGTATATTTATTATTAGCTATGTGGTATGTGTATGCACCTTTATGTAATCTGGAAAAACATTAAAATTTAAAACCGGATCATACCAAACAAATATCTGCTTGCATGTCCTCGTGTATGCAAAGTGTCCTCCTGTTTGATGTGAAGGAAATGGCCACCCTACACTCACACCTGACACCCCCGTGCTCCCACTACAATCCTCCCTCCTTTATATAATAATAATATATAATATATAAAATCCTAATATCCACTGTGGAGTTTCTTATTTCCTTTATAGAACTTCACAAGTTTGATTCATATTCTAACTCTTACAGTTACAGTTTGGGTCAAATTTGATCTGTCTTGATATTTGACATCAATAAAAACACTATAAATGACGTTCTTTTGTACAGGTGTGATATATTTTGTAGATTGATGCTGTTGTGGGTCAGATTGGACCCCTATCTATTGAACACAGTGTAGATCCATCAGAGCTGATCAAATCAAGGTGCTTTTAGGGACCTGTACCCATGTGCCAGAACTGAGCTCTTGTTGCAGCGGTCAGGGGTCGGACTCCGACCTGAGGCCCTTTGCTGCGTGTCACCTCCCTGTCACTCTACAGCTCTCTCTATCGATTACAGGGACTATAAAACCCCCAAAATATATCAAAAATGAATTATCTTTTAATCTTATCTTTTGTCTGTTGGTTAAATGTTAGTTAAGGTATAATAATAGATCATTGTGTGTGTGTGTGTGTGTGTGTGTGTGTGTGTGTGTGTGTGTGTGTGTGTGTGTGTGTGTGTGTGTGTGTGTGTGTGTGTGTGTGTGTGTGTGTGTGTGGACATTCATGGGTTAACAACAGTCACTTAATGCATTCTTTTACAAATAATTTCTGAGAAAAGCTGAAGTTACCCAACAAACTGCTTCAGGTCACAAAAAGCCAGTTTGGGGACTCTAAATTTCTTGAGAATGTAAAACTTCAGGAACGTCAATGTTTCCATCTTCAGGGGCGTGACGCACAAACACCTGAGTATAAAAAGAGGCAGATGGAGACAGACAGCAGCAACATCAGCCCAAGAGCTGCAACATCCAGAAGGGTTCAACACCGACCTCCATCTGCAAAGCTTCATCTCCTGCTGCTCCAGCCAACCTCCAGACGGTAAGACAAGCTCCTCTCCTCTCTCATGGGGACTTCAGCAGTGACTTTTTAAGGAAAAAACTGCACAACCTGTTGAAATGATTTGGAAAAGAATATTCAGTTGATAACGATCACTTGTCCACAGTTTATGTCTGATCTGTTAGCTCCTTATTAAGAAGACAAAGCTTTTAGTCTGTGAGCTCCAACACGGTGAATAAACTCACCTTCAGTGTCAGATCACTTCGTGACACATTTTACAAAGCTGTGGTAAAGCTACGTGTATGGCAGACATTTTTATGATTCACATTCACATTTATTTGGTTTCATGTTGATAATTTAATCTTGTTATATTTGTGGTGAAACTGTCAACTACTGATACAGGAAAGGAGTGTAAAACAAACAGAATGTAAAATGTGTTCACTGGAGGATAAAAGTAAAAATCAGACACAACTTCCCAATATGTCAAATGAAATACTACTTGTGCTGCTGCCGCTCATAATAACGTACTCAGTGGGAGTTATGGCCTCTAATGTGACTGCATTCACAATCTACAGCAGTGTTTCTCCCCTAGGGGCACTTTGGAGTACTGCAGGACATTGGTTTTTAAATGTTCATTTAAAGAATATCAGTACAATCATTCATAAAATAGTACATAAATTCATTAAATAATTATACTATAATGAGTTCAATTAAAACTGTAAATGCAATCCTTTCAATGCAATTGTTAACTGCAGTAAAACCTGTGGAAAAGAGTTGCCTCCTGCCACCGAGGATGACAAAGATCCTCAGTGAAGCTCAACCTCAGTTTCTCAGTAAAATGTGCAACCTTTCAAAAATCTGCAGTTCAATGCAAATTCAATGCCGTCTTAGTGTTACTGGACGATGACAAGAAACTGGCTGTGAATTTGATGAAATGTAGTATTTAAGTGTTTCAATTCCAGTTTTTATTTAATAAGTGAGACTCTGATGCCACAGTGCTCTATTGTACCTCTTTATAGACATTTCACTAGTCAGGGGTACTGGGCCGATAGCAAGTTAAAGGATGAAAAACACAAATGAAAAACACTGATCTATAGTGATCATTGGATCTATATTCATTTATGCAACTGCATGGGCCTCATCTAACAGAGTTCATGTGGATCCTTTTGCAGTTGGTGAATAAGCTACAAATCCAAGTAATCAGTCAGAGTTAATTTAATGGATTTTAGATACAGTAGACTGTGTTTTTAATAACCCTGTGCAGCAGGAAAGGCATTAAATGCTTTATGAAGCGAACCCTGAGCACCATCCCTTACACTGCACTGTGTGAACTGTATCTCTCCCAGCTCAGACACTTTCCTGCCGGGGATCCATCATGGGGAAGCTGAGTGCGCTGCTCCTCCTGCTGGCAGGTAAGAGAGCCATTGGAAAGTTTAAAGTGCTTTACTATCTAACCTTTATTTTAAAGGCGTTAGCTGATGAGCCAACATGCTGCAGGCTCTACGGGAGGTTTTATTTTACACATTATATACCGACATTACAGTGTGACTGTGGGGTTTAATGGCAGATTTCTCTGTTTCAAATACAAAATGTACCTGAATGATAAATCTTTAATAACATATGCTCATCCATGAAATCAGTCCAAATCAATAAGGGTTGGGACTCCTTTTAATCAACACAAGGAATCAAGTTGGGACCATTTAGTTTCATACACTGAAGAGATTTATGAATAAAATAAATCCCCTCATGTTGTCATTCACACTGAAGGAAAATATCTTCTAAATATTGATTTCATTCATTCAGACTTTTACTCCCAGAATTCATTGCACTGATAAATGTCATTTTAAGTTGGAGGTGTGAATTGCAAAGAAAGAAAGTTGGTCTTGATAGATTGATGTATGATGTCTCTCATTTCTTTTCCTTTTAAATTCACACTGTAGTTGCTGCCAGCCAGGTCGACTTCTCTCTGTCTGCTGTGACAGAACTGAACTTCCCCAACTGTCCGATCAACTATTATGGACGCAATTACACAGCGCTGACTGTGAGTCAAATTAAACCATGTTTGAGAAAAGGCCCGTCTCTCCATCTACTGTTAATATCTAACAGACTGTTTGACTGCTAGCCACTGTTAGCTATATTGAATACAGATTTCAGTGAATGTTTAACACATAGTTTAATGACATTCTGGGAAATAATCCCCTCTGTCACTCTAGTAATCAAACTCAACACAGATTACTGAGCCGACTAAAACGACACATATATCTTTAAAGGAAATGATAAGGAAATAACAGAGCCATAAATCAGAGCATTAGCACATTCATATCCTCATATCAGCCTCAAAGAGTAAAACTATCCAGTATTTCAAATTGCAATCATTATATATTTAAAGAGAACTTTCTTCCGTTGTATCCGACAGTGGTAATAATCTCCTGATGGTTCAGATTTGTTATGGAACCCAATATTGTCCACAAATGTCCAATTATTTCCCCCAGTTCACTGTGAGCTCTCTTCTCTCTAATGCAGAACTGCTCATACGGGTCAGAAACCGTCCCATTTGTAGTTTACGTACGAGGACCTGTTGGACTGAACCCTTTTACACCACAATGAGGAAAACGTTTGGATGTCCCCACCGACCTGAATTCACCTCAGACTCATTCATGTATGTTTTTTTTCTCTGCAGGTGGAGCAGACACCCAACGTTTCTACTGCACTTTGTTTCAAAGGCTCAAATGGAAGCGACTGTATTCACATATCGAATGGTGGTTCTGACACAGCAACCATGGTGGTTTCTGTTAGTACAACAAACATTACATTCAACCTGCCAAGCATAAAGAGCGTGTCACAGTGCAGAGTAGAGTTGACCCTTAAAGAAAATAAAACTGGCTCAACCAAGATGGTAAGTTATCATCATTAATATGATTAATTGATTTACTGTTCAGCCTTTTGTACAAATTTCAAAGACATTGATTGGCAAAGGGAAATTCAAATCAAAGTTTATTTGTAAAATATAAAATAAATATATATATAAAATATTTCCTAATATGTTTTGTATCTTTTCTGTTTATGTTTTCAGGGAGTATACTTATACCAAGCTGGACAACAAGCGGCTGTGCTTTGCAGTCTAAAGTTTAGCCTCCCTACTATTGTAAGTATATGTAAGGCATATGGACGTTTGGTCTCAGAGATTAGCCCGAGTCTGTTACTGTGGCAACTTTTGTCCTTAAACCAAATGAAGGATGTGATTTCAGACTTTCAGCCTGAAGTTCACCACTGGATTTTATAGAATCTGGTCCCTGAGAGTAGACCCAGTTGGTTCCTCTCATGTATTACCAACACAGTGTGACTCACTGTGTGACCCAAGCAGCCAATGTTCCTAAAAATGAGCCCAGAAGGTCCTTTAACAAGAACCCTCAAACATTTCTGACAACAGATAGCTGTCAGACTTCAAGACTTCATCATCTATTTAATTCAAATGTGATGATGTTTCTTTCCAGTGTTTCTACATACTAAACAATGTGTTAAGAACACATGGCAACTGTTGAAATGAGTTAAACAGTCTATTTTGTTATGCAGTGGGTTCTGGACCTTCTGGGTTTACAATGGTTGCTGGGTAATTATCCCATGTAATGGTAATGTATGACAGGTACAAACTGGGGCATCCTGACGGACCATTAACAACATAGAACTTTAGTTTGAAACAGTTCCTCATTGCTCATAAACACTGCAGTGAAGTAACAGTAATGCAGTGACACATTTATGTCGTATTGGCTCTGTAGTATTTTAAATGAACAGTGACAATGACACTCAGCTTCTATTTTTAGGGTATTTATGTCCACATAAGATGAACAGCACAAATCTGATTCTGATTCATGCTCGGGCCTGAAACTGGAGACAAATATTTATACATGTATAAAAAGGGGAACTGAAGTCACTCAGAGTTAGTACAGTATTACATTATTAACCTTGAATTTTGTCTATTCCTTCTCTAGTCTGTGAATATGACGGTCGATAACTCCACTGTGGACTCAGTGCTGAAGAATAATACTTCTTTTTTTTTGGACATAAGCGGCTGCAGAAACCAAAGTAGGCAATTTAGATGTTTATTTCCATCTGATATATTGTTATTTCCTCTCCTTTACGTTTTGTACACCAGTTTAATGTTAAATTAATTTCATAAACCTCCTATCACCTCCCAGACACCAGTTTTAAGACTGGAGAAATAATGTTCAACAGCTCAGAAACCTGCTCCCAATTGGTCTGTTCAGTTGAATCATCTGGAGTCAGTGTCAGTACATGTGGATCAGAGGAGTCTTGCATCGGCAATAACATGTAAGTATGATTTCATCCTTCAAAGCCTGCTGACTACATTTCCCACAATGCAACTCGACTGCTGACCGTTCTTTTGGAGAGTCAGGTGTTTTATGCTAGTAGCGGCTAATGTAGCCAGAAACTGAGGATGATGTTTTCAAGTCTTTTGAGAAGAGGGAACCAATTCATTGTCAATCACCTTATTGATTCATTGACTAACTGTATATAGTATATTGATTTTTTTCTGCTCTTTTTCACAACAAAGACGTCTTTTACACCATTTATAATAATTAGAATAAAAATAATAACTACATATATATATACAGCATTTTTCTATCCAATGACTGTCTCAAGATCTAGAGATTTTCTATTTTTATATACTCTTGGAGGCTTTTATTGTCTTTAATCGATAGTGGCAGCTGTAGAGTGACAGGAAAGAGGAGATAGGGGAGGGAGTTGAACCCATGGCCTGCTGCAGCATGGACTCATGGTACATGGAGCTCCAGCTCTGTAGTTGAGCTACCAGGGCCCCCCCACAGAGGTTTTATTTAATCTAAGGTCACTGAGGGATTTTTCAGATCCTTTGTATGGTATCTGTGGTTAGGTTTGTATTTGTCTTTGTCACAATAGCAGTGCCCTCTGCTTTTAGTTAAGTTAATACACATCGTCCTGTCACTCTAGTGAGGATTCATTTTCCTCAAAGTTATATTAACTGGAAATGTCATCTTCATAGAATAAAACACCTTTCTTTCTTAGAGGTCTTTTTATCTCAGTAATAAAAAGACAGAATATCTATCCCTTTCCTTCTCCATCAGGTGCGTAAAACCCGCTGACGTGTGCACTGTGACTGCCTCCAGCATCATCGATTTCTCCAGCAGAGTCCACTCTGTCCCTGATCGCTGCGTATACAGTCTGATGAAGCCTCTAGGAAGCTCAGCCTTCAACCTACTGGCGGGTTTCCGTGAGCGACGCCGCCAAGATGTGGCGTTTTTGGACCACTTGATACTGTCCCTGAATGGGTCAAGTGTCAAAATCTATCTGGAGCAAGGTGGAAGAGTCCGGGTAAGCTGCCACAATCCATCCAAAGACTAACAGCCTATTTATGGACTCATAAATCCTCCTTCCATCCTCTTTGTTTGATCAATCACTGATGATCATTACAGGCCAGGAGTTACTTGTGTTGATGTAGTTCAAGACAGGTGTGGTGGTGGAACATTTTAAATATCACAATATAATGTGATCCTATTTACTCAAGTGTAATAAAATAGTTGCACAGAATTACGATGCGGTGCTATTTGAGGTTTTAACCTGGGCTGGATGGATAGCTGCGTCTAATGAACGTTGGTGCAACAGGAACATTCAGATTATTTTTACTAATGTTCTCATTCGTCACTTCTGTCATACGTTACTTTTTCAGCATGTTCTTTGTTTTGTTGTTCTGCCAGTAAACACTATTGAAAGTGTTGTTCTCGCTGTGAGTGATAAGAGGAGACAATCGGAGTTCAAATGTGCTGGTGTTACCTAAACTAAAGATTGAAAAATCCTTCTTTAAGTTGGAACAAGCACCCATGCAAAGCACATGTTGGTGTGTGTTTGTGTTATTTCAGCCAGTGTTTCCCTCATGTTGCCTATCTGCTGTGATGTAGGATGGTCAACAAACGCTAACGCTCAACGCCACGGGTCAGGTGGTTCACGGGGTGGAGCTCTCGAAGAACCAGACTGGAGTTACTGCCAAGATTCCTTCCATCAACGCCACAGTCTTTTTTGATGGCAACACTGCACATGTGACAGGTACAGAAATCCTATCTGGACAAAATATCTGTGTCATTTCAAAGTTGTTCATGTTGAAGAGTGACAGCTGAGCTTACTGATGGAAGTTCTTTTATTTGTCTTTAATTGCCTCCTGACATCGACCAGGACATTTTGGAGCTATGGAGGGCTTGTGTGGCAACCCCGCTAATTCCAGTCAGAACTTCACCCTGAGTGCAGCCAAGTCCTCTAATGACAGTGCAGCCAGGTAAAACTCAGTCTCAACCAAACTGATATAACCTGTTTATTAATGCAGCATTGGTTTCTAATTGAATGTCCCGTGCTGTTTGTCGCCTCCTAGCTGCGAGACTCTGCACAACCAAACCGCTGACAGCTCGATCAACTGCACCCGCACAACTGAATAGTAAGAACTGACCAATCAAAACCTTCCTATCATCTTCAGAACAGGAACGAGTCATCTTTATCATACGTTCCTACACGATACTGTTCAGAAACCTGCTAATTGACTGTCATTCTTCCTCCCAGCTGCAATCTCATAAAGCAGGCCCCCTTCACTGTTTGCCACAACCACTCTGACCCCGAGCCCTTCGTAACCGCCTGCACAAACACTCTGTGCAAATATCCAGCGGTGGACGGCCTCAACAAGTGCCAGTTTTTGGAGGCTTACGCCGAGTCCTGCCGCCTGAAAGTGACCATTACAGTGGGGAACTGGAGGTCAAACGCCAGCTGCTGTAAGAGCGTCATTTCACTTCAATGTTTCATAAGACAAAATAAAACCGTATTGGTTTCCTCCTGCTGTTCCAGGCTGAAACAAATCCTAATCATACAGGACAGAGAAAGTAGAATTATTGACAGAAACACAACCATCAATTTTAATACTGGAGCAAAGTCAGAATGTGGGTAAAATGTATATGGTATACATATACTCGTATACAAATTCTGTGCAGTATATATTTGTTTAGCTACATTCAACTCAAAACTTCAGTTAAAATTTGACATGACGTTTATTTCATTCAATGTACAATTTAGAGCATCAGTAATGGTATTAAGGCCCTTTACATAAGAAACAACAACAACAACTAGAGAAGGCAGTTCCTTAATAAATTGGCTGTTCAAAGGTTGACGCTAAACTGAATTACTGGCTTTAATTTGTATCGTATTGAGGAAGCTGAAGAAATATTGTAGCTGGTAAAGTGAGAAACACTAATCACGAGTTTAAAGTTTGAAAAATACTTGTCTGCCCTAATTAGCTCATCTCAATCAGCTGTGTGCTCCCAACCCCAATGAAAGGTTGCCACGGTGATAATGGGAGAAAGTTTGAATAGTTTCTTTGTGAATGTATGAATGTGTGGGAAGAGGTTGGAGATCAGTGGGTTTGAAGGTTTCTTGTTGAATTTCGAACATTGCGTCCATAAGGATGAACGGGGAAAAATGCCAGAAAACCTGGAATGTTTTGAAAAGTATGAAAGAGAAAAGTAATAGTAACCCGATTCCTGAATGAGTTGAATATTTTGACATTTGAATGACGTTTTTGGACGATGAAAACTGTGGAGGGAGTTAAGTGCCACCCAATAATAAATGACTGCTACGTAAATACTGCAGTATGATCAACAAAAAGGTACAGATGGTAAAAGTATTCACTGTGCAGAATGAATAATTATCACTGATGCATTTCAATGTTCAATTTAAATGTTTAATACATTTGATCTTCTTTTATATAACTAGTGCTCTGTTTTTGTGAAGCACTTTAGTGTCTGCTGCTCTAGAGAGCTATTATACACATACCTTTGTACTGAATCTATAACTATAGAATCACATGTTTTGTATTTGTCATGTTTACCTGAAAAGGTAGCTATAGCTGTCAAATAAAAGCAGAAGGAAGTCGAGTATAAAAAAATCAGTTAGTTCATTAAAAATGTTTCACTGTTCCTGGACCAGTGGAGTATTTTGGATTTTTGTTGTCCAGTAAAAAGTGCATCACAAACTTGTTTACATGAACAGTCATTCGTCCTTTATTTGATAGTGAGCCTCATGTGTCTGTCTGTCTGTCTGTCTGTCTGTCTGTCTGTCTGTCTGTCTGTAGCTGCTGTCCCTCAGGCCTCCTGTCAGGATCAGGACTGCAGTGCTCATGAATTCTGCGGTGAGAAGCTCGGTTCGACCAGCTGCCTCTGTCGGGCCATTTTCGCTGCCAAGTACAACTCAACAAACTCTTTAGGTACTGTGCCACAACCGTCACATGAAAAAACATTTTCTAGATTTTATCCTGTTATGAGACACTTTTTAATGTTTGTTGTTTTGAAATAAATTCTCTACAAGTTTTTGGAGCTATAACCTGTAAAGTTTGAACTGTTTTACAGACTAGCAGGGAATTTTATATCAGTTAGCTCGGGAGCTGAATTGGATGTTTTTCATTATATTTATAGAGTTCATTTTAATTGTACAAAGTGTTCTCCAGAGGAAGGCAAACAAAGCCAATGACAGAAAACAGAAGAGCAGGTAACTCATAAACCAGCTGCTGATATGTCCAAAGATGATTTTAGTTCTGGAAACATCTGGCAGAGGCACAGCGGTTTTGGGTTTTGGGTTTTGTGGTTTGGTGCAGAGCCTGTCGGGCCTCTCCAGTCTAATGTCAGTTAAGAAGATAACATTAGCACGAACCAGCTGCTGCAGGATGAATAAATCCATATTAAAGTGGTGACTGTTTGACTACTTTGTCCTGCTGTTCAGGCGAGCCGACAGTCTGCACGCAGAACTCGGCCACTCTCACTCTGGCTGGTTGTCTGCTGACGGACAAAGGCATCGACTACTCTGCCTTACACCTCAAGGACCAGAACTGCACAGGTCACATAGACAGCAAGACCCACATGGTGACTTTCAGCTTCAACAGCAGCAACGCCTGCGGGGCGGAGGTTATGGTGGGTATTGTCCTCCAGCACGGGCACAAACTGTAAACTCAACCTTTGGTTCAATACAGGGAGGACATTTTCCACTGGTTTTCTTTATTTATGACAGAAAGACACGTTTGAATTACCAGCTGGATGACAAAGACTTTTTTCTCAGTCAGGACTGTAAAAATCACAGGTGAATATGAGAAGAATTTGATCGCTGTGATTAAATGAAGCTGAAAACATGTCTGTGTTCCTGTCTCAATCTAGAAAAACAACAGCCAAGTCCTCTACAAGAACACCGTCATGATGGCGAACGCCTCCGGCATCATCACCCGCAACGACCAGGTAGCGATTGACTTCTCCTGCCTCTACGCCGTGCCAGAAGTCAAGAGTGTGTCCTTCAAGATCAAAGACAGGTGTGTGTGGGGGGGCGCTGAGCTTCACCTGGTTGTTCATGTGCCGACTGAATCCTGTTGTAGTTGAAGTTAAAGACAGCTGAAGTGTGTGTGTCCGTGCTCTTCAGCTCTGTGGTGAAGCAGATTGTATCTGGAGTTTGGAATTACACTGTGACGATGAACGCCTACAACGACTCCGGCCACAAGAACCTCGTCAACGCAAACACTGAGGTCGGGCTGAACCAGAAGATCTGGGTGGAGCTGAAGACAGATGGGCTGGACAACAACATAGTCACCGTGGTCACCGACTCCTGCTGGGCATCCAACGACTCCTCACCCAATGGGACCCTGCGATACGACCTTGTCAAAAACGGGTGAGAAAAACACAAAAAAACTGTGACTTTGTCGGAGGCTCTACTGCTGCTGATGTCATCATGTCCGTTTCCTGTTTCTGAGCAGATGCCCGAACGCTGCTGACAAGACGGTGATGACTGAGGGAAACGGAGTGGGAACGTCCAACGGCTTCTCTTTCAACATGTTCGAGTTCTCTGGGAAAACCGGTGACATCTACCTGCACTGCAAACTGGAGCTGTGCCTCACACAGAGCAATGCCTGTGCTCCGGTAAGCAGGGAGGAAATACTCGAGTAAAAAGTAGTAATATGACAATGTAAAAATACTCAAGTAGAGGTACTGCATGAATACAGAAGTATCATCAGCATATTGAACAAATCAAACCATCCCCTGTCTGACAGAGCTGTGGAGGTCTCAGGAAGCGCAGATCTCTCAGGTCCAAATATGCCGATGGAAACCCAGCCCTCATCTCTATGACCTGGACTAAGTAGGTAAAGACATCTCCCTTCTCATTAATTACATGGCTGTGTATAAAGCCGCTCACAGTTAAAGATTGATCTTAAGTGTGTCTTTAATCAGAATTAAGTGCCTTTCATAAACATTTAAATTATTTAAGAGGGCATCAGAGGAAGAGCACTCACACTTTACTCAGTTTATTTCCTTTTTTTTAACAAATTCATTTGTTCTTTAGGTCAGAGTTGATTTGATCATACTAATGATTTTGCTTTTCTTGGTGCTCAATATGTAAAGTTTGTCCTGTGGTTGGCGCTATAGAGGAAAGTTCACAGGGCATTAAAATCTAAAGTGTCAGTAGCAGGAATGTGATCAGTTAATTTATTGGTAATCTGACGATCAGACTTTGATATTTTCTGTGCAGAAACAGAAAAATCTCCATCAGAGTATAAATCATGACTAATTCCTGTTTTGTTTGGTTGTCTTCTCAGATGATTCCTGACTCAACCTTCATCCCAATGAGGAGCCTGAAAGCTCGCTGGTTATGAAACAATGTTTGAAGTTCTTTATTCCCGAGTAGCTGCACTAAGGTAGCAGCTACTCTTCATATAAAACAAGACATATAACATTATATAGAACGTGTTTCGGACAGGATAGTTGTTCACGTCGGTTAATTAAGGTCTGGGTTTTTGTTCATGTGTTTTTACTGTTGCTGTGAAATATGATATAATTATCATAACACTGATCTTCATTGGATCCACCTGTGAAGGATCATGTTATTTCTGCAGAATTGGTGCTGAGTCAATCCAATGATTCAGGCCAATTAATAATGAGAGTGGAACAAAATCTTTGGTGAAATAATAATAATAGAAGTGAAGTGTGCAATGAAGAAAAATACCGTAAAACTTTGATTAAAAGCAGGTTCCCAATTCGACACGCCATTTTAAAAAGGAGTTTATACAGAGTAAAGTACTTTTTTATATTACAGACTGTAAATTACACAGAAAACCACAAATATACCATATCTCACTACGATCATACGGTATTTTCATGTGGCAAAACTGTTGCTTTTGATGGTAAAAACTGGTGTGACTGTAAAACCAACAGTACTAAACTCCTTTTACCGTAACTATAAAAAAACTCTACTGTGTTTATTTACAGTGTAGAGGCCTGTCCTGTTTAAAGGCCTGTCTCGTTTAAAGGCCTGTCCCATATAGAAGCCTGTCCCAAATAAAGGCCGGCTATTAATTGAAGTTTTACGGTAATGGAGGTTTACAGGGTTTTATTTACTACATGCACTACTTCCTGGTACTGTGGGCTCTTTTATAAAACATATATAATTTCTTCTTCACTATGATGTTAACCGCCTACTTTAACTGTACACAGCCTAAATGCTACCTCGTGAATGCAGAAAGTTCTGTGTTTTGGTGACATGAAGTTAAAAGAAGTCTGTCAGGCTCAGCTGAAAGAAGCTTTGCAGCAAGAAGGTTTAGAGATCCAGTGGAAGGAAAATACGCCACATTAAAATGGTGTTTATTAGTAGATTGAAGTAACTGTGAATGAAGATTGATTACACTGAGACGTGCTGTTGTACTATTACTATTAGCATATTAAAAACCAAAAAAATGTAATAAAGGAAGTGGGAGAATACAAACATGATTCTGAATCATTTATTAATTCATTCATCAAAACCTGTTTGCTTTAGATTGGTGTGTGAGTGTGTGTGAGTAAGTCCAGAGTTAGATATTGATCTTCAGAACATCAAATCATTAAAGAAATGTTCTTCACTTTTTTATTTACATCCTTGAGACTGTCCATGTCACTGGTTCCCAACCTTTTCTTTTAGGGAGCCCTTTTCTATCATTGAGTGACATGTTGTTGTCATATTATATTCAGTGCAAATCAATAACAGTGGAGAACAACTGATAAACTGTCCAATGAGTCCAAACAGTGAATTAGTGAATAATGAAGTGTGTTTTTTTCAGTAATAATTTCAACAATAATTAATCAGCTTCTTTTTGGACAGAATCAGTTTCCTCTCCTTGTTCAATGAGCTCTTTGGTTGTTTGAACTTTTCTAATGCAGGACAGGGCTGTTTATCGGAGAGTGAAGGCTCTGTCAATAAAGGCTGTGTTCAGGTCTTTGAAGCTTTAGATCTTAAATCTAAAATTAAAAAAAACAACAATTTCATTTAGTTGCTTTCACAAAAATGAACAAAATGGTATTAAAAGGAAAAGATTTTCCCATATAAATAATATAAAATACAAAAAGCGCTGAACACGTATTAAAAGAGGTGTATCGCAGTTGTGGAGTGCAGTTATATAATTCTGCACTGATTTTGAGCTTCTTGGTCACATGACATGGAAGGTATTGAAAAATAAAAATCAATATTTGTCTGTAGAAACGTGTAAATAAAATACAAAAAGCGACTACAATAATACAATACCCAGCACACGTGGTGGTCTACCACATAAAACACAGCGTTATGAATAAGAACGGCATCTATGAATCAACTTACCACTGATGTTTTCATCCAGCAGCTGTCAGTTTGAATCCAGAAAAAATTAGAGATCCATTTTAAATGTTTAAATAAATGAAATGTCTACAAACGTTTTCTTTCGCTCGGCTACCAGAGGAGCTAACATTAGCAGGACAGTATCCGGACGTGGACGGTTGAGTTGTTGACAGCGAGAAGACGTTTCAGAGGGAACAACTGAAGATTCGTCCTCTTCTTTTTCTCCTCAGTGCTCCGGACTTGTACTTTACGCCCAATTTTAGCAAACACACAATCCAGCTAACTAGCTTACACGTATATATAGGCACATAAATCTTCAGAAGCTAGTAAATAAAATTAAAATTAGATTAACCTAAGTAGCTGAAAGAAATGTTTTTTATCCATATTAATCCTCCGCTATGGGACAACAAAATGAATTTAAGTTATTTTTAAAGTTTGGACTATTATTTAAGATGGAAACTTTGAAGACATGAATGCAAACTATATTCTCTACAGATCACCTTGGTCAGGCATTATTAAAGGCGAGGTAAACGATTGTAGGTAACGCAAAATGAAGATAATCGAATATCAATAATATGCAAACTGATTTCCACTTCCCAACATGTTCACACCTGTGTCAGTGAAATGTTGGATTACTCTGACAGACTGATCCTTTAGTCTGGGAAAGAGGAAAATGGTCCCTGTAGGGATGTGACACAAGGGAATACAGGAATTTACAACAACTTTTAGAGTGTTCTTCCCGTGTAAAGCACTATTAAGTCAAGATACATGTTTTTGCCGTGTTATCCTGCTGCTCCTGCGGCTGGGGAAGTAAAATCTGATGGTTGAGGGAGCGAGAACTGATAATGACCCCGGCCCAAACTTCAACCTTGGATAGGGAGAAAATCGGGCAAACTTTGCAGCGTTATTATGATTTATGTCTGGCTTTGTGAATAAACTCTCTGAAAAGGAAAGTCTGTGAAAGTAAAGAATAAAACTGAAAGAGCAGAAAACTGAACACCAGGCTGCTGGCAGACAGGGATGAATAATACTTTAGTGATCTTAAATTAAACCGTAGCTCTCCAAGCTTGAGATTCATAACAGTCAGATATTTGGTTGTTCGAAGTGACAATACAGCTGCAGTAGTTTACTTTTCGATAAAAGGAAGTATATCTTTTCCAAGTTTTCTGTCATACATCATCTCCACACACACACACACACACACACACACACACACACACACACACACACACACACACACACACACACAATTAAATATATTAATAAACTAATTTTAACCAGATTTTGTTTATTCACCATCTCCACCATACTCAACCTTCTACAAGCATCAATCTGCACATCCCTACATGAGCTGGTATCCAACAGAAGTGAACATTGATACATATAGTAAATCATCTCTAGTCGTTTGTCCTGACTGAATACTTTGTAACGCAGCTGCTGAATCTGAACATATGACTACTCTAAAAAGTACATGTAAATGCTCTGTTACTGATTTCACTATGTGGGTTCATTGTAAAGTTTTTAATATAATATTAAATCATCCATAAAATGTGTCACCTAAGCAGTCAGTTTACTAAATGATAGGAAAAGAATCCCTGAAAGGATCACAAAACTACAATATTGACTATGTCCCACACTGTACTCCCCTACAGGAGCAGAGTCTGCTTTTTTCTCCTCCCCTCTCCTCTTGTAGTAATTTCCCCACGGGATTATTAAAGTACCTATATCTGATTCTGATTCTGATAAAAATTTAAAAATGTTTAACCAAACAACAAAGTTGCTGGATGTAACAGTGTCTCAGGTGTTCTTAAAGCGCTGATGAGTTATACATCAACATTTTCTATAACCTATTGTAAATTTAATTTTTTTTATTGCTTGACTGCTTGATAATATTCAGAATCAAGTTAAGAGACGAGTTCTGCAGTCCTTTCTTCTGCTGTCGTTGGGCTAGTGAACAACCTGACCAGCCAGCATTTCATCTTCTTGAACTTTTTGTCCAACACCATCTTCATCTTCACAGAGACACACTTCATAGTGGGGGAGCACGAGTGCTGCATCAAGGCTACCAGCAGTGGGAAGAAGAAGAGCGGCATTGTGCACTATTTACTGCTGGACGGGGAGAAAATAGCAGCTTCGACACAATAGCTGAGAACTTTCAAAGAGACTGTGTGGATGAGCACGCCATGTAGAAATACCAGGCAGATACAAACAACAATGGGTGCGCTTTATTTTGAAGGATCTGTATTTCCATTTGGTTTTGATGACACATTTTGAAAATATGTTCATGTAAATAATGCAAATAAACACTGAAAATGTGCAGCATTCACTTTGTTGTATGTTTTTATTTTCTACTGGGTGATTTATTTTACTGCTGTGCAACTTTACTTTGAAAGGGGGGCCACAGTTCCACTGCCAATAATCGATTATCACAAGCAAATAATCAGAGAGAGAAAGTGATTTTGTCCTGTTAGGTCATTTTTGCGCAGCCTCCACGCAGTTAGTGACGTCTTGAACGTCACTGCGTCAAGCAGGCGGCGATTGGCTAGAAAAAGACCGGAACAACGGAGGTTTCATATTCTAATTAAAAGCATTGAAGATGTGCACATTAAATATGAATGGAAATCGAGAATAGAACAGACAAAAATAACATTTTTGGGGGTTTGAATTTGTTATTTACGTTTTGTTAGTGTTAAAAGAGATGAATATATATTTTTTATGTAATAGGTTACTTTATTTCCGTGAGGTAGGTTGTTACGACAGAATATACGGTGTGAATGGGATGCTTTAACTAAATAATTAGAACATTTTACTATTATTGGAGCAATTCGTGGAGTGATACCAAATCATTCAGTGGAAAATAAAGTACAGTATTCATCATAGAGTCCCCATTTGCTGTCACGTGGCTCAAAAACCTCAATATGCTCTTAAAGTTGGAGGTAATTAAGTACAGTCTGTGTGTATGGAAGTCCATTTCCACCAGTGTGACGGGACAAAAAGATTCTGTAAGTCATAATGAGAAACCTCAAAATAGATAGAGAGATAGACTCATAGCAGCCAGGTACATTTAAATACAATAAAATACAATAGAATAAAGTACAACAGTAGAATAGAATAGGTAGAAAAGATAAAAAAGAGAAATAGGTAGAAAAGATAAAAAAGAGAAATAGGTAGATAAGGTGCAAAGAAGTTGCAGTTGCAAGATGGTGGTAATAATAATAATAATAATAATATTGGCTTAAAAATAAAGTTTCTCAGTATAAAGACTTCCATACATATTATAAGGGAAGGCCACGTTATGTGCATGACACAAAAATCTGTTAAAATCGTATTTTAAAATCGGTTTTATTTTGAAAACCCCACCGGAACCCCCCGTGTGGAGTGCGTGCGCATTGAGGAAGCACACAGACGTTCCCGGCTGGGACTCAGTGGCTCCGCGCTCAGCGGGATGGACCTCACAGCACCGGGAGCGGACAACGGCTGAGTGTTTGTGCGCCGTCTGCGGGACTCGAACCTGTTCACAACAACCCCAGGACCCGCTGAGGAGGAGCTCCGACGGGGCGGCTGCCGCAGCAGGTCGGTCGGTGGGATTTAACTCCGGAGCGGAGACAGAACAACCGACGGACGGACGGACGGGAACAGGCATCCTAACTACCGACTGTTTATCAAGCTGCCTCCCCAGCAGCTGCTGTTTGACTTTATATGTTTTAAAATGGCTGCTTTACCCTCCTCTCGCTGGCTTTAATCCGCCACTCGGGTGCTATGTGAAGCCGACTTTGGCGCCTGAAGAGCGGGTAGTTTGTCTCTCTCCCCCCGGGAAGCTGGGAAGCTACTTAGCTTTAGCCGGATAGCTAGCGAGCTAGCAACAAGGCCGTTTTTTATCCCCCTCGTCTGGTCAGTTGAGTGACTCTAAAAGCAGTTTGTTGAATAGAAATAAACCCGAGGAGGGATCGTTTTTAATGTCTTAATGTTTTTAAGGATATGGGGAAGCGTTGGTCAGCCTGCCGCACATCTGTCACCGCACCGGAATTGGGAGCCGGGACGCCCCGGGAAACAGCTGCCTTCACCGGCCAGTAGCAGCGACCCTGCCGCCTCCTCCAAAAAGCGCTGGAAGTATCACTGGCATTAAAAAAACCCAGGGA